AAGGTCAGGATTCCTTATAAAAACACCCCCAGTAAAAAAACCTAATCTTTTTGCAATGTGGGACCCGTGGTTATGGGGGTTATTTGGGAGGGGCATATCAGGGCGACTAAAAATTTAAAAAAACTAAGCAATAAATCAATAAAACTAAAACCAAACTAAAATAAGTTAAAGTAAACTAATTTAAACTAAACTACCTAACCTAAAAAACTAAAATAAACTAAAATTAAGGAAATTATAAGATAAACTAAAAACAAGTTAAACTAAAACTTAACAAACAAAATAAACTAAAAACAAAACCAATCTCTTGACTGCCTACCTGCTAGTTCACCATTAATTTTAAAACAGCGCCAAATATTGCCCTAGAAGGACAATTTCTGCTGACATTATTACAAATTTGTACATTTTATCTGCGCACATGGTCATATTTTTTTACACAATTACGTTTTTTTTATAGGTAGTGCCTCCCTAGCGCTAACAAAAATATAAATTCCAAATTCCATATAACCATAACTAATGAAACTAAATGATTAACTGATAATAAACCTAAACTAACTAATACACTCCAATGTAATAAATGCTCAGCTATGTACTGTAAAATACGGTGTTGTTTATATTGAATCCTTACTGAAGCAAATGTCAAACCAAGAGAAATTTCGCTAAGGCAACTTACCTATCACAGGAAATATCAATCGAAAATCTTAACAACGTTCTCGATTCCAAAAACTTACTTCGATGGGGTGGTAATTTGGATTGTGTGTAAGTTCGACCACCGCAGCCCGTGATGTCCGCCATTTGCCCGAGGGCAGGGACGGTGACTGCGGTCAGGTATACTGATAGTAAACGCGCCGCCACCTACCCCACCCTAAACCTTCTCCTCGCTTAAAACGGTGACAAGACAAAGTCGAGATGACCGAGCGGGAATCGGGTGTATGCCGCTTTCTCCTGATGTAACCAGAAATACCGCCTACCTTAACTTAGTCTCAAGTGGCAGTAGACTTTTGGGCTGGTACTTTGCACTATTTACCCTCACTCATCCATAGTAGGTGTCCAGAAATATTCGAGGAGCCCGAATCCCGTATTTCTACTACTACTGCTACTGTGTATGCTGCTGCTTCTAGCGGTGTATCTGAGTGATTGTAGTG